CATACAAACAGTCCATACTAGCTCCTCAGTGCTGTATACAACCCCCCACCACTTACCACTACAGTTGTCCAGGAGGTAGAGCCATACAACTACCTTCTGTAACTTCAGCAAAGCAAGCAGGTTACCAATCAGATGGATACCTCTGCACTACTAGTGCCGCATCAGCATTTCCAAGCCATGATACAACCATCAGTCCAACAGCACCACCTTGGGGCTGCTCTGGTGGTGAATCTGAGAGCCTGGATGTCAAAGTTGAGGATCTATCTTTTGCATTCAAAGCATCCATACGATGCCAGAGAAGAGATCTGTTGTCGTAGAATAAGAGCATTCCAAGATAACCAAAGGTGTCTGGTGAATCCTGGGGCTCACATTATTCGCTCTCCATTCTGGCTTCACCTCATCCGTTCGTGTTTGCTACTCTGTGAGGGTTCCACCGCTGCCTACACATCTGGCTTTGCCGCCTGTGCTTATCCCGAGCTCATCACGGCTCTGAGGCGCGGAGTTTTCGCTCGCAAGGGCGAGGAGAGGTTCAGCAGGCCGCCTCCTTCTTCGTTCCCTTCCAGCTCCGAGTGGACGAGAGTCGTTCCCGCGCGCGGCCCCGAGCGCATGCCCGCCGACAGGTTGAGGTCCGCGGGCGCGCGCTGCCCGGAGGCACTTGTGGGGCGGCCCTGGGGCGAACAGGGGCTAAAATATTCTCTTCTGAAAAAAGCAAATTCATAGTGGGTGTTATTCTAATAGAAACATAATTTTGTATTTTGTTCCTATGTTGCTGTTTAGTGCATTTTTTTTCTTTGTTTTTCTATTCTGTTACTTGCTGGGTGGCTGGGTGTGTTAGCTCTTCCATTGCTGTGACATCAGTTATGACACCTGTAAGTTAAAGGATGAGAAGTTTATTTTGGCTTATGGTTTCAATCCATGGTTAGTTGGTTCCAAGGCAGAAACTCCATAGCAGAAGACAGTGAATAAAAGCTGCTCACTTCATGGTGACTGGAAAATGTTCATAGAAGAGCACCAGAGACACAGGGACCAGGGACCAGATATATTCCATATGGTTAGGACTCCTTGACTCGCTCAGACATACCCACAGGTGTGATTTATTAATCTCCTAGGCAGCTGACAAGGCAATCAAGGTGACAATCAAGATTAATTTTCAAAATGGACATGGTGATCAATTTTTGCTCAGAAATATACATTCATTACAGGCCTCCTCTGAGAAAATCATTGTCCTCTTATCAGTTCAGACTGGAGAAGCTCACTTGAGTTCATGCATCTTGATAAAGAGACACAGAGTCATGGGAATCTCTGACTTGCCTATATTTAGCTGCTCAGCAGCTCAGCTGTTTTCCAGCATTCTATTTAGCTGCACCTATTCGCAGCAGTCTTCAGTTGCGGAGCTGCTTCCTTATCTGTACAGCTACTCTGTGGCTCCTAACCACTGTATAGTCTCACAGCAATCCTCAGCTGCCTGGATCACACACCAGTCTAAATTTATAGTAAAGTACACAATAGTCACCATATGCCAGTATCACTCTTAGTTATATAAGTTATTTCCACTGAGAATGTAAGGTGCTGGAGTCCTACTGACTCAGGAATTATTGTTCCCCAGAAGTCACCCCCCCATGGTCTGAATTCACCCAGAAATTATTCACCCCTGTAGCCATCTTGGGCTTCATTTTCCCTACAATCCACCTCTTCACACTATGGGATGTGATTGCCTACTGGATATACACCCTTACAGGGCTTATCCTTGTACCTAAATGTCCTAATAACAATACTAGGAGAACTCATTGTAGGCCATAATAGAGTTCCTTGTTCTATGCCACATGTACAGTCACTTTTGGGGCCAGGCTGGCACACAAACTACACTCAGCTGGCCCAAGGCTGGAAGCCAAATTAGCTCCCTGGCTCTTTTCTTTTCTTTTTTTTTCCCTGGCTCTTCTCAAATGTCTCATCTAGCTCCTCTTTCCAGCCCCAGGCTGCCTGGCATCTTCAAGGAGTTGAACACAAGGGCTTTTTGCTGGTGGGCTCTCTCCTCTCTGGACAGTATCATTGTGGGAAATAGAAAGTGGATCTCCCTTGTGGGCAAATCCCTCTCTTTTCTTGTGGACTTTGGTGCAGTACCCAACCTGTAGAAGAGTTCAAGGTTGCCCTTCTGCAGGCCCATCATTAACCATACCCTGGTCTCCTTTTTCTGTGGCCTATAACACATAGGTCTTTCCATATGACTTGGTACCACATGGGCTGGTGGTCAACTACCCAACCTGAGGCCTTCCACATAGAAAGCTGTAACATCAGACCATGACATACCACCCAACTCTCTGTATGGTAAGGGAGCCTCCTGGATAATCACTACCCACATGACACAGAGTTCATTGACTACTCTGTCTAGTACCAATATCAAACTAAATACTGTCTTTTTCTGGCTGCAGAACAGCAAGTGTCTATTGTGCTGCAGGCCCATGGTTCAACCCATCCTCATACCAGGCACTTGTCAGTAACAGTGGCTGATGCTCCTTGTAGTGGGCTTACTCTGCTCTCTCAGGTGGATGGGACAATGGGGCAACATCTGTATATTTTACTGGCCCACCTTGTGTAACTTAGCAGAAAGGGAACTTGTGCTCAGCACTCTGTTACTTTAATTATTCTCTCTATTGGACAGCATTAGTGTTTGAGCAACCCATTTTGGAGGCAGATAACTATGCACATAGACACTGGGTAGGTGATTTGCACCTTCATGGGGATCTCCTGGTGATTAATTCTCAGGCCTGTAAGGCTGCATATATAGCTGCTAGCTGTTTCTATATACAGAAACAGCAGACATTCTTCTCCTTCTATTATTGTGACCAAAGTCCTAAAGACATCTCCAGCGATTCTGTACACTGCCACAAATCCCAACCAAAGCCACTGATGGTTACAATAACATCGAGGTCCTAAGAGTGCCAGAGGTGAGTCATCTGCGGGCTTGTGTTTGCTGCACAGTCTGCTTTGCTGCCCCAAATGTCTGCTCAGCACCTTCTGCTCTATCTGCCTGCTCAGCATCTTTTTTGTTTGCTTGATCAGTGTCTTTTGCCCTATTCACATGCTCAGCATCTTCTGCCCTATTTCAGGCAACACCATTCATATTCAGGTTGTACAAAGGTTTTTAAATCTGGGCTAAATGGTTAATAAAAGCTCTCCAATACCTCAGGAGCCTTAGAAAATTCTCTAACTTTCACTGTGGTAGGATGAGGATACTTCTGTGTCTTATCAATAACATCCTCTGGTATTGACTCTGTACCACCTGAACAGACAACTCTCAAAAACTTGAAGATATCCCAGGTCTTTGGACCTTGACTTCACTAACAACCTATTTACATGCTGCCAGGCACTGCCAGAAATCACCAGCAGCATGCTCTAGACTTGCAAGAGCATCTGTACTTAGCATAATATCATGAATGATGAAATATAATGAAATAATTGCATGTACCATGGGAATGACCATGCAGCCTTGTCCTTTGCCACAAACCCATGACATATAGTAGAGCTGTGCCACCAGAGGTGGCAACGCAGCGAATGCCTCTTATCTTTTTTCCATGTGAAGCCATATTGTTTATGTAGCCTCAATCCCTGGAGAATGTTCACCCCCAAAATGTAGTCAGGTATCAGGAAGTGGTGCATGGTATATACTCAAGGAGGCACACAATCTACAGTCATTGGTTTCACTTTGACATTACATCCTCCATAAACATTTATATAGGCCAGCTTATACAGGAATTTATCAGAATTTCTATAAATCATGCTACAGTTGTCCTGGCTACCACTAATATGAACATTTCATGTACATTTGCATGGGACCAATGACTAGCAAATGCAACACTATGCTTCAGGTCCTCCAGATTTCCCCCTAATCAAGCACCTTGACCCTGTCCATAGTCAAAATTAAATGCCTGCTTGGCATCATTCACAGATGCCATGAAGTCCTGCAAGTTTATGACCTAGGTCTGGACCATCTGCTTCCACTGAAACCTTCATTTACTGAAAATGCTGTTCAGGCTGCAGTTATCTTCAAAGTGTTAACAGCATATCAGGTTTACACCTGCCATGAGGAGGTTGATCCACACATGGTTGTAGTCACTCATTTTGGCACCTTTTGCTCAGTCTTTTTGCTGTCTTGACTCCTTATGGCCTGAATTCCTTGCTCCTTTTCTGTCCCCTTCAGCATTTCCCATGACTACTCCACAGCTGCCTCTTCTGCCCACCCTTGGGCTTGTTCTCACCTCTAGATTTGCCTCCAGATGACTGCAAATGCCAGCTGCCCCAGCAGCCTTGGTTGAGCTCTTCCCAGCCCTTATTGGCTAATTAGTGTTATGGCAGCTGCCAAGAAATGATTGTCCTATGTTCAGGTCCCATACAATTTGCACCAGTTTTGTGCATGCCTGTCATCCACTCAAGGTCTCTACCTGTTCCTTGGAGTCTCTCCAGACCATCTGTGCTACTACCATAAGCCAACCTATGATTACATGGACTCTGACCTGATGGGTTTCTTCCCTTATAGTGACACCAGCCTGGGCCCCAGGACTGTCTCCTACTCTGATTCAGACCAGAATTTACATTTTGCTTGCAGCTCTGGCATGGGCTTCATGCTTAACCTCAAAGTCTTGCAAATGGGCTCTGTCATTTGCTACTCTTGTTTACCTTCATGGTCTCATTGGGTCACGGCTTGCTGCTTCATTTTCAGTTTCACCACAAGATGGACCTTCCTGCATAAAAGCAGTTCAATTCCCTGAGCTGTCTGTGTTGATGAGCTCTATTATCTCATCACCATGCATGCATTTGGACAAAGGGTATGAGCAGAGTGTATCTCTTCTTTCAATTCTCTACTGATCTGTCCCTTTTTACTGGTTTCTGCCTTGGATGAGGCTGTGATGTATCCTGCTAACTACAGCCACCGTCCTCTCACCAGTTCAGACTGGGGAGGTTTGCTCGAGATTCAGGAAGCCTGAAAAAGAGACACAAAGTGATGTGTTTCACTTGACTTTATTTAGCTGCTAAGCAGCTCAGCTGCAGTCCATCTCTCCATTTAGCTGCACACCCTCACAGCAGTCCTCAGCTGCCCAGCTGCCTCCTTATCTGTCCAGCCACCCTTGCAGCTCCCAGCCCCTGCAAACTCACCACAGTCCTCAGCTGCCCAACCCACATGCAATCTAGGTTTACAGTAAAATACACAACAATGGTTATGTGCTAGAATCAACCTTGGTTATATAAGTTATTTACACTGAGATAGTGAGATGCACCTGCACTGGAGTCCTGCTGACTCAGGACTCACAGCCCCCAAGATATCACACCCCATAGCCTAAGCTATAGTGTAACCACATTGGGCTTCATTTTGCCTTACAACTATAACAAAAGTATATATTTTGCTTTCTATTTTTTTCCAGTCCAGAGCAAAACTTGGAACTCCAAAATGTAGTCCTTGGCCATGTATCCTGCAGTAGCAACTGGAAAAAGAGAGAGAGAAGAATCACTAAGCTAGAGACCATGAGTGGGTGACAGGCACACACCAAGAAGTCATTTTCTAACTCTGCATTTCCTAGAAACCAAAAGTCTTTCATTGTTAGTGTGCCTCTTTACAATATGATCCCCTCACAGCTGGTTAGTGGGTTCTGAGATCCTGTTCGTAAGGAATGTGCTAAAAATGACTAATGTCGCCCCTGCTCTCCAAGAATTCATAGTCTGAACAGAAATAATAACACAAAAATAAATACACATGAAATAGAAGAATAGAAGATACAGTGCCATAACACAGAATGCTCTGAGGGAGAGGTTGGGGAGCCCCTAGCTATGCAGGTATAAATGGGCTTCAATGACATTTCTGTTTGAAACAGAAACACAAATAAGCAAGCCTTGCACAAGTCCAGAAGCAGTGTACTGAGGAAGACATATGGTCCAGAGATGCAGAGGCAGAAAATAATTTGCTCAGAAAAGAGTTTGGAATGGTGGGGATGAAGACAATGTGTGAGGAGGGGAAAGGAAGAAAGAATGAGCATAGCACTAGACCCTGAGGCCTGACAAAACATACAAATTATCTATTGCTGTGTCAAAAAATGACCCCACGCTTAGTAGCTTACAACAAATAACTGTATTTGGGTGGGAAATTAACAATAAGGAAATGATAAGATAGAAGGTGATGGAGATGAGCAGGATGTTGCTAAAAGTCTACCTACTGATTTAAAATATCCACAAATAATAGTGTATTGCAGCAGCCCAAACAAATTAAGGCTATAAGGCTTTGGGTTGATTGTGAGACAAAATGTTTTCAAGAACATCTAAGGCTAAAAAGCAAAACAAGTATGGTTTTGCTTACTCTCACTGAAGAGGTCGGACAGCACCCTGTGAAAAACATGACCTAAATAGTATTTTTCAGTTGTAGAAAATGATATAACTACTGTCAAAATAACTTTCTGTCCAGAGAGGGATGATTCTACATGCATGATGTCTTCTTGCTCTTTACTTACATGGCAAGACAAGAAAATCTCACTCTCCAGCCTACTTCATAAGACCACTAATCTCCCTAACAAGGAAAGAGCCAAAGCCCCCATCTCTTACTGCCACTGCCTTTAGGGATTATGGGTTTTTTAGACAGGGTCTCACTATGCACTTCATGTTGGCCTTTTACTCACTATGTAGCTCAGGCTGTCCTCAAACTTGGGTTGATCCTCCTCCTCCTGAGTGCTAGGATCACAGGCATGTTGCCACCACACCCAACAAGGAATTAGGCTTTAATATATGAGTTTGGGAGAAAAAAAACCCCAGCTATATTTCTCAATAAATTATACCTCTTTAAATTATGACATGAGTAAATTTATTTAAAGGAAAATACTTGCTGAATATTACCATTACCAAGATCATTTACAAATTTCACAATCTAGAGATGACCAATAATTCTAAATATTATGTAGTGTGCCTGCTCTTACCCTCTAATAAGTTGAAATTCCACTACAAAATGTGTTAGAATTTTGATTCAGTAGATCAATTTGGACAATATTAACATTTTCCGAATACTCAGTCTTTTCATCTGACAACATGGTTTATCTCACATTATATGTTATTATATTATTAGTTTTCTAAGTGCTGTTTTGTAACTTTAGAGGTATATATACTATTGACTTTTATTATTTTATATATTTCACTCATAGATTTTGTTGCTAATGACATTATTTTTAAATTTTTTATTATTGTAATGAAAATATGTGATAGTTATATTTATCTTGGGAAATTAATATATATATAGATGGCATCTTTACATTTACTGCCACTTGCCTCTTCTTCCCTTTCTCCCCTCTTTCCTAGTTTCCTCTCCCATCCACTCAATGTCTACATCTCTGCTTCCTATTATCTCTCTTTTATTTAACTCTTTAAATCATTTATGCTTGAGTTTCTCATATAAGTGAAAAATGTGATATCTAACCTTCTTTGTCTAATTTATTTCACTTAGCATTACGATCTTAGGATCAACCCATTTTCCTACAAATCACTTGTAACTATTCCTTATGGCTGAGTAGTAATCCATTGTCAATATGTAACATGTTTTCTTTTTCCATCTATTGATAACCATTTAGGTCACTTTCCTGATTTACCTATTATAAACTGTCCTACTATAACAATGGGTGCACATGCATCACTGTAATATGATGTCTTTACATCTTTCAGGAAGACACTCAAAAAAGGCATAGCTAGGACAAATGAAATTTTCATTCAGTTTTTTGAAGAGTTTTCACACTGATTTCCCTAGTGGCTGTACTATTTTATATTTCCAGCAACCATGTAGAAGGGTTATATTCCCCCACAACCTCAACAGAATTTATTGATTTTGAGTCATAAAAGATAGTCATTCTGGGCTGGAGATTTAGCTCAGTGGCATCTCATCTGCCTCACAAGCACAAGGTCCTGAGTTTGATCCCTGGAACCACCACCAAAAAAAAAATAATAAAGTCATTCTTACTGGAATAAGATGGAAGCTCAGTATTACTTTTATTTGATTCTCTAAGGGACAAAGATGCAGAATATTTTTTCATTTACTTATTGGCCATGTTTTTTTTTGTGAAATTTCATTTCACTGTCCATTTAATGTCTGAGTCATTTATTTTAGGAGAGGTCCAACTTTTGGCATTCTGTATATGTTCTATATGATATTCCATCTGAGGAGTAGCTGAAAAAAAAATCTCATTCTGTAGGTTATCTCTTCACACCGTTTATTGTTCTTTCCTGTGCCAAAGATTTTTAATTTGATATACATATATTTGTTGATGTCTGGTATTATTGTGTGTGCAATTAGCATTCAGTCTTAGTCACTTTCTTGGTCACTGCATCACAATACCTAATAACATCAACTTTTTAAAAGGATAGTTTATTTTTACTCACAATTCAGAAGTTTCAGGTCATGTTCAGCAGTCTTAAACACAGAAATAGCATGGTACAGGAGCCTGAAAAGAGGAAAGCTGTTCACAATGGTGGTGGCCCAGAAGCACAAAGAGAGAAAGGAGGCTCTGAGGAGGGAGATACGCTCTTCTAGGTCATGTTTCAGCGGCCTGTCTCCCCGGACCGGGCCCCATTTCCTAACAGCTCTATCACCTCTAAGGTCCAATCCTCTTTTAAAATCCCCACCTAAGAGTTCATGAGCCTCCTTGGGGGTCATTGAGGCATAAACTATAACATTCTGCCCTGGACCCCAAAAGACTTATGGAGATCTCCTTATGCAAAATTATCTATATTAACGGTTCCAGAATTTTTGAAAAGTTCAAGTCCACAGTCTCCTATGATATTGAAAACAAACTCATTGCTGTGAGCCACTATAAAAATAAAAAAGAAAGCTGAACACTGCTAACATACAGTGGCACAAGGTAAACATTTTCATTCCTAAAGAGAGGAACTGGAGGCTAGAAACCAATGGCCAAAAATAAAACCCAACAGGGAAAACATTAAACCCCATAGCCCCATGTCTAGCACCTCAGGTGTGTTATGCAAGATGCAATCTCCATATAGCTTTGAGGGCCACACTATGGCACTCCCTATCAGACCCATCACAGACCCATCACCTCTAAGTTGAGCAGGTTCTGCTCATTGCCTGCAGGCTTTCTCAACAGACACTCCATATTCCTGGCCTCTACAACTGCCTAGAGTCTTCACTGCACTTGTCTCCTTTCAGGGGCACACTGCTTGGCCTTCCAGATCTTCTGAAATCTGGTTGGAAGCTTTATTGAACCCACAACTCTTTCTTTCTACATCCCTATAAACCAGCATAACATGGATGATTCCAAGGTCCACTGACAGACAGCTCAAGCAGTATCAGGGAATCCACGGCTCATGGCTGCAGAGACCGCTGAATACTTGGATGGCTAACCTGTGAAAAATTATTTTCTATTTTTCTCTGAATAAGCTGGATTTCCTGAGACTTGTGTTTGTTTGTTTGTTTGTTTGTCTGTTTGTTTTTGGTACTGGGGATCAAACTCAGGTCCTTACGCTTGCACAGCAGGCAGCGAAACCACTGAGCTAAATCCTTGGCCCCTGAGACTCTTGTTTTGAATGAAAGCTTTACAGCTTTTCATCCCTGAACCAGAAAAGGGAGGATTCTTGGTGATTCTTCCAATCTTTCTCTTCTTGATCCAAGGTTGTACTCGCTTTCTTTTTAATGGTAGTCTTACTAGCAAACAAGCTCTTTGCTCCAACTTTATAGGGGCTTCATTTTTGGGGTAAACTGAAATGGGCATCTGCTGATATTCAGTATAAACTGATTAAAATTGGCAAGAAGTACCCATATTGCAATGTGAATATTGGTCTTCTTTGAAATTCCACTATGACAGTAGTCCGCCACCCTTAAAGACAGTCTCCACAAAGTCTCAGAACATTAGCAAAATGTAGGCAAATTTTCAGCAGGAGCTTAATACACATGGTCTCTAGACCAACCTTCATGCAGTTCTTCTATCAAATTGAAACCTACTGAACCTGATCTTTACATTTCTCTTGTCCAAGTACTAACCAGGTCTGACCCTGCTTAGCTTTTGAGATCAGGTACATTCAAAAAGGTACTGTGGGGGCAGGGATTTAATTCAGTGGCACTGCATCTGCCTTGAAAGTGCAAGGTCCATAAAAAAAATCCCTGGTACCACACACACACAAAAAAGGTATTGTCTTAGACAATAGTCTATATTTCTGTCAGCCTTCCTTTCATCTAATTTTTGACCAGATCCCACATTACCTTTGGTTTAAAACCATCTAGCTAGAATGTCCAAACCTTTCCAATCTCCTCCTATAAACTAGTTCCTAAAGCTTCAGAACTATATGGTTAGGTTTATTCACAGAAACAAACCTTGTCTTCTAGTATCAAAATCTGTCTGAGCCTTTTTTTTTCTTTTTTTGGTGAAAAACCATAGCTAGCATCCACAATTTAAAGATGAGAGTTTTATTTTGGATCCCAGTTCCATATTTCAGTCCATGCTTTGCAGTCTTATTCACAAAGATGAAACAATGGAAAGCATAATAGAGGAGCCTGGGTGGAGGAAACCTGCTCATGTCATGGCAGCCAGTAGAAGAGAGAAAGGAGGAAACAAGAAGGGAGATGCACCCTTTCAGGTTATGCTCCCAAGGACCTGCCACTGTCAACCAGGTTCCATCTCCCAATATCAAGTCTTCTCTGGTGACCTGAAGATCCAATAGTTTTCCAAAAGCATAACCTCTGAGAGAATGTGGCTCTGGGGAACATCCAAATATAAACCATAATAGATTCTATTGTTATATTAGATTCTTACTTATGCCTTAAAGTGTTTCACCAAATTTATTTTCCTACATATTCTGTGTTTCTATCTTTGTATCTAGGTTTTTCACTTATTTTAATTTTAGTGCAAGGTGAGAAATATGGGTCTAGATTTATTTTTCTTCAAATATAATGAATAACCACTTTTCCCACCACCATCTATTAAGAGGGTACCTTTTCTCCAGCATTAGTTGTTGGCCCATCTGTAAAAAAAATCAGATGCATACCAATAAACTTAATGAATTAAAAAATTTAAATTTTTTTTTAAAAATCAGTTGCCTAAAGGTGCATGGAATAGTCTCTGCATCTTCAATTCTTTTCCATTGGTTAACATGTTTGTTTTTATGCCAGAACCAAGCTGTTTTTATTATTGGAGGTTTGAAGTATAATGAAATCTGGGATTGCAATGCCATCTGCTTTTGTGTTTTTGCTCAAGATTGCTTTCCATATTCTAGAATCCTTCTGGTTCTATGTAAATTTTAGGATTCCTTTTCCAGTTTTGTGGAGAATGCTGCTTTGGTATTTTGATAGAAATTATATTAAGTCTATATATCATTTTTGGTAATATGGCAATTTTGATGACAGTTTTTGAGCCTAAGAAAGAAGAGGGAATGACTTTTTACATTCTACTGTCCTTTTCATCTTTTTTCAGAATACTCTAGTATTTGTTACAGATTTCTTTGACTTCCTTATTTATGTTAACACATAAGCATTTAATTTTTTAAAGCTAGCCTAAGTGGAATTGTTGTAATAATTTCCTTCGTATGGGCTGGAGATTTAGCTCTGGCACCGCGCTGCCTCTCAAGCCAAAGGTCCTGATTTGATTCCCGGTACCAAAAAAAAATCCTTCCTAGTGGCTTCATGATTTGTGTTTGAGAACACTATTGATTTATTCGTGTTAATTTTTCCATTTTGCCCCTTGCTGTATTGGTTCACTAGCTCTAAAAGTACATTGGTGTGGTTTTTACAGTCTTCTATGTAAGGGAACATGCCATCTGTGAATAAGGATTGATTGAATTCTTTCTTTCCTAATCATATCCCTTTTATTTCTTCCCTTGTCTGGTTGATTTGACGAGTGTTTTGAGCCTGTTGGTATAATCTTTAAGGTAAGAAAAGAAAGGTAATTCAGCATGGCCAATATATCTAAGAGCCCACTTTGATTTAATGTACTTCTTTTTTGTTTTCTATGTTTTGTCCATCTGCCTGTCAGTTAGTTTTTAATAATTGGTTAAAGTAAAGTACCTGCAGCTGCTTCTAGAAAAATTTTGAGTTCATTATTTTCTATTTATTTTCATTTTTTTGTCCTTGCAGACTTTCGATTCTGTTAGGGCTTTTCATAAAAAGAAAAAGTTATGCAAAACTCTGTAACCAAACTCACTTAAAATTATAGGATTAAGTGAGTTTGCAAATAAACTTAATGTAACCTAACAGTTTGGCATGTTGAAGTTATGTATGATTAAGGTTAATATGTGTGTTTCTGTGTGTTTACTCTCAGGTATATGTTATCCTCTAAAATTTCTATTTAAATTAGCTTATACAAAAGAGAACACTGAGTGAGCAGAGCCCTGGTGGCTCCCTCTCAACCCGCCGGGAAAACTCGAGCGGTGATCGCGCTCCCCAAACCACTTCCCGCCCTCGGCCAATGGCCCCCAGCGGCCTCCGCGCGCGGCTCCCCGAGCCCCCTCGCGCCTCCCCCCAGGCCTGTCCCGCCTCCGCCGCCACGATCTCCCGCCGTGTCCTAGCCTCAGGCTGCCCACCGGCCTAGGCGCGGCGGCCAAGATAGGGTCCCGCGCTCCCGGGGGAGGAGAGGGAGCTGCCGCGCGCTCCGCCCCCTTCCAGGGCTGCAGCCGTCGCCGCCGCCCGCCCGCAGGCTCAGTAGAGGAAGATGTTACCCTGGGGTTGCCTACCCTTCAAAGCACTTCCAGCACTAATGCTCATGCGATGACGACGACCACAGTGCGGAACGACCAAGTCCAAATGGTCCAGACAGACCTTTTCAGTGTCCAACCCGTGGGATGCGATTCACCGGTATTCAGAACCTAAAACACTATATGCTCATCCACTCGAGAATGAAACCATTTCAGTGTAACCGCTGCGAGGGCTTACTCGCTGAAGACGCACCACCTAAAGCATGAAGGTAAACGTTGTTTCCGGTGCCAGATGTGTATGTAGTGGCACTTTCACTTTCTTGGAGGAATATAAACACCTTATTGGGGTTTCCCGGCACATTATCCACAAGTCACGGATTTATGAGTGCAAAACATGTCGCGCCATGTTCACAAAGTCCGAAAATTTAATCGTGCACCTGAGGGGTCTGAACCATGAAGCATCAGAGCTAGCAAACTACTTCCAGAGCAGTGATTTCCTAGTACCGGAATACTTAAACCACGAGCAAGAAGAGACCCTTGTTCAGTAAGATCTTGGAGAACATGGTTTTGAAAGCAACTCTTCTGTTCAAATGCCTGTAATTTCACAGGTCTCCTCCACCCACTTTCCATTCTGTATTGAGTCAAAAAAAAAAAAAAAAAAAGAACACTCACTTATTAGCCCAAATTTTTTTATCACATGGCTTAACAGTGAGCTAATTTAAATTGATTAATGTGAGAAAAAATGTCTCTAAAGTGGGTGTTATGTTTCCGTCCAGGTTGTTAAGACATTTATCTTAAAAATTATTTATGTGAATGTAACATCCATTATTTTCTGTGGACAATAAGATATTTTCATTGATTAAGATATATATGTATATGTATATAATATTTACTGTGCTATACTTTCTCAGGAGTCATCTCAAGTAATTGTTAAAATAATTAAATAAGAAAATATATAAAGGTCTAATGCTTATATATTGTGCATAACAACACCTAAATCATCCGTTACTAAATATAAATTCAGGCATTCTTGGCTTTTTTAGACTTACAAAATAGGTACTATATTTGGTTTAATAAATATGTAGTTATGTTATTAATATGTTTTAAGGTAAGATTCCTTTCTTAACTTGGCCAAGTTAAATTTCTTAGCTTAAATTATACATTAAAGTAATATTTAAAAAAAAAAATTCCCTCGGTGGAAGCATTGGGCCTGAGGAACTACTGAAAAACTCTTCCCCCACCCATGGCTGAAAAAGCATCTTGCTTCAATTTCCCTCACTGATGAATGCCTTCTCATGTTTTATACCAGAGTCTAACTAAGACCCACTCACATGTTATTAAAAATTATATATGTATATATAATATATATTTAAAATTTTATAGCCAAGCATGGTGATGCATGCCTGTAATCCCACCATTTAGGAGGTGAAGGCAGGAGCATAGCTGTGAGTTTCAGGCCAGCCTAAACTACATAGTGAGACCCTCTCTCAAAAATAATTTTTATATATTTATATACACATGCATTGTCAATAATTAAAAGGTTAAGGGTACTATGTACTGTTTGACACATTTTACCACAAAACAGAAAACAAAAACAAGGGAATATGATTATTAAATAACACATATACTATACTTATTCATTAGCAAGACTCTACAGAACAATCAAGAGTGAAGAAAACCCACCTGCTTCATCCAAGATCAAAAGAAACATCCACATTCAGACAGTTAAACATGTTCCCAATGTAGAGGGCAAGATTGACTGCAGAAATGGTGTGCCATGGTGAACCAGATCCTGGTGACAAGTAAAAATATGAACTCTGAAAGCTGATCATAGCTGGCTGCTCCTTTTATCAGTCTGAAAATGCAAAATTTGCCACCCTAATATTTACTAGAGGAATACCCTTACCTGGAGTCAAATTAAAGTTCTCCCTGAAAGTGTCAAATTCATCACCCCTTCCTCCTAGAAACTACATAAAGGAATCTATCTCTGAGCTTGACCACAAACATGCTATACAAATTATAGACTGACATCATTAAATCTATGAATGCCAAAACCAAAACGATGTATATAAATTTTCAAGAAAAATCCCCATAGGGGTTCCAGTTCCTGTCCATGGCACGGTGAGGTCCTGGGAGCAGCTAGGAGCCCCGCCTTCATCGAGTGCTCTGCTTAGCCCTGTGGGCACCTGCAAGGCCCAATTCCATCTCCCTCTCCCCAATACCCCCACCTTATGGCTCTTCTGCTACCTGGTCCCTCACTAAAGAGGCACAGGGGATTATACTTCACACAGTTAAATGTAATAGATTAATAACTACCACAAATTGTCATTTTCTAAGCTGTGCTTGATGCTATGGTATTGCTGATTGTAACATTTGGCCTAACATGTGTGGTTGATCTAATCAGTTTTCCTTCCTGGTATAAGGAAAATAAAATAGCCTGAGTCATTAGAGCCTCCAAACCTAAACTCAAGCTATATCTGGAAGACACCTCTGAAAAGCAATCATTCCACAAGGGTTTTAAACACGAGCAACAAAGATACCTGCATTAAGCAATTTTGAAATATCAACCCAGGAATTAAACCAAAGACAGTACCAAAAACAAAAATGAGAAGACATTTAAGCAAGGCACAAATGCAGGCTTCCACCCCACGAAAAGGAAATTCT